GGCCCCCGGGGGGGGGGGGGGGGGGGGGAAAGAATACTTCTAATGGAAGCATCAGCACACTTAATATGCTAGTCACAAATTCACGTAGAAAGTCTTGTGCGGATAAACGCGTTATGCCTACCTATATTCTTCTTGTGATTTCAAGCAGCAGTATACGTATTACATGTTCTGAATTGCTCTCCAGTAGCTGCTACCCCAGACAGTCATCATTTCAGTGAATTGAGGAATTTGTATCTAGATCTCTATATGTAGAGCAATACAGCACTTGGGGACCTTCATGATGGAAAAGATGTAAAATTTGCAGACACAAATTTCCACCTTAAAAAAAGCCATCGCTATTAGTGCAGAGCACCTGAGGAATCAGTCCTAAAAGCACAAAAATCAGGGAGGAAAACAAGCATCTCCTTGCCAACCTTAACAAATGATGAAAATCACTAGTTTAAAAAGTACCTTTCAGATCTTCCTTCATTTGACATTTCTCCATTCAACAGTGGAAAAGGCAGGGCTCAACCAACCCAAAATTAACCCAATAAGTGTTTTCTATAACTGCAATGTACAATTGGACCCACATTACGATCATTTTGTCCAAGCGAGGACCTTGCAAATGCAGCACAGAGCAACAGTCAATGCGCTAGCAGCAATATCTTTTATGAGACTGACTAGACGGTTGCAAATAAATAAATAAATGCTTTATTTGCAAGCTTTGGGGCACATGCGCCCTTCCTTCCGCAGGCACAGGAGGATGTCAAGACGGTAACATTTCTCTCATGTAGAAACGCTTGTACTTTGAGACCAAGCTGGATCTGAAATCCCCTGAAGCCGCCAAACAAAACAAGCCCCTGGAGCAGACGGCCCCATCGCCACTACTCACCGAGCCGCCCAAGGCCGCCGCAGCCTCGGTCCCCCCTCGGCCCCCAGATTTCCCACCCTCCTCCTCGCCTCAGCGCCGCCGGGGGCACAACGACGAGCTTGTTCTAGAAACCGCCCCCCCTCCCTCGCCCGGCCCCCTGCAGCCGGCCTGAGGGAAGACGCGCCCGCGCAGCGCTCACCGCAGCGGCGAGAAAGCGGCTGCAACGCTGGTGCTGGTGCGGGGCCGCTGCAGTGTCCCCGGCCGTGCGCGTCGCTCCCCACCGCTGCCCCCGCCCCGCAGCGCCAGCCCTCCCCTGCAGGGTGCGGCTTCCACAGGCCGCAGCCCAACAAGCGCGCCACCCATTGGAGGGCGCAAGCCCCGCCACTACGGCGAGCGCCTATTGGCTGCGAGCGGAAGGGGCGGGGCCGGCCTGAAGGGGGGAGACTTCACCCCGTAGTGCCTCCAGCAGTTGCAGGCTCGGCCTGCTGGGGGGCTGGGCTGGGGCGTCCTGGGCAGAAGTTCAACCTGCGACTCGGCTTCCTCGGGGTGGGAGCCGCAGACCTGGTTCTTTGTCCGCCTGCATCCTCGGACCAACACCCGCTCGTGCCGAGCCCAGACCCTTTCTGCATCTCCCCACGTGACACGTGTATTGCCAACTGCATCCGAAGCCGATTTGGTACCAAATTCCCACATTTCGACTTGCCAGTTCAATGGGCAAATAATAATAGACAGCCCTTCCGAGCCCTGAATGTCAGGTCTAGGTTCCCAATTAAAATGCCAAATCATCACAGAAAATCAGGGCTGGGAAGGGACTCCAGGTCTCGACCAGAGGCTCCCAAGGTTTTTCTTTGGTGCATCCCCCATTCCAGATTGACCAGCTCCCTACCAGCATACGTGTTATACTTGAACCCCTGCAATGCCAATGATTATAATGAACATTATACCATTACACAGTTTCTCCTGCACACCCACCAGAGATGTATTGCCTATCCCAGTCTTAAAACCCTCAGTCAGTAATAACTGATCATATTCATTTGTCATCAGGTGAATTCTGCAATATGTAGTTGGTAATTAATATCCATGTCTTAGCAGGCAATCGTAGAGATGCCCCCAAGAGCTTTTCCTTGGTCGGGGTATCACCAATTCCCTGCCAGGTAAGAAAGGTTGCCAAAACATAAATTTGAGGCTAAAAGGCTTGTCATGCTGGGCAACATGGACCTATGGTCTGACCCAGTCAGTGGCGATTCCTACATTCTTATAAAGCAATGGCCATTGAAAAGGAGCATTTCACATCCTGGAGCAAGATGCTGCTAAGGGTAGGTATGCACAGAGGAACCCTGCCACCTGTCCAGCTGTGGTCATAAGGTGGAAGACAGATAGTTTTAGTTTTTACCAGCAGTTTTTAGTGATTTGACCATGTGCTGCAAGGTCTGTACAATGCAAACAACCTAGGCTGAAAGTCTGCCTAGCTGCAAAAAAGGAGCCACCAAGAACTGAGAATTGAGTAGATGCTGCAACCCTACAACAGAAAACAAAATTACTTCAGTTATCCAAATAATGCTCAACACTTCAGTTCAGCAGAAGTTCTAGGTATCAGACAGCTTCCTTCTAGCTGCTTTCAGATTGTGTTAGCAGGTGCTCAGCACCCAAGAGGATCAGCCATCTGTCTTCCATCTTTCCTTAACTCATGTCACCACTTGTCAACAACTCCCCCTCTTGGTCCTGGGTACCTTATTTAACTGCAAAAGGAGAAAGACAATAAAAGCTCTGCTCTCCCACTTCTTATTCAGGCAGAGATACCAATTTAAGTTTGCAGGTATTTTGCCTGAATAAGGAATGCTGGAAAAGGCCTTTCATGCTTTAAAATCTATATATTTTTTGCTCCTACAATGCTCCTGTCCAGTTCTAAGCAGTGTTGGCATGCCTATGCTGTAGTAATGCTCCATGCTGAGGAGGGAAGCACGCTGCTTTCTAAAGTGCTGATTTATTGCAGTAGCAGAGAACCCTCCCTTCAGCTGCAGTCATGCACATTCAAACCAGAGTGGAAAATCACAGATTGCACGGAGGCCACAGAAGCAACAACTTCCAGTGTCCCAAATAATGGAATATTTTTCCTTTCCGATTGCCAGAAATAGGTCAAAATCAATATCTGCCTCCTTCACTAATGGAAAAGCTATCTCTGGAGACAGCTGCTTGCTATTTAAACTGTTCTCCCTATCTCAAATTTGCAGTTGTGTGTAGATGCCAGAGCCAACAGCTACCAGCATAACTTACAGTTTGTCTACTCCCTTGCTCAGGAAAAGGACTCTCATCAAGCCTCCTCATTTAAATCCCTCCTCCCAATTCACTTCTCCCACCATACCCAACCAAGCCATACATTTAGCATATTCTACCTTTATTTTTCTTATTTTTAGATAAATGCAAGAAACAAAAATCATAGGACACAGCCCTCGAGTCAGATGACAATGCACAGGCTGACCAGAGGTTTTACAGCAAAAAAGATTACTTGTTCCTCTTGTTGCCTCCTTCCCCCCTCCCCTCCCCATATCAGAAGAGCACCAGATACACACTGTAACATGACACAATAGTGATGACATTATATAATACATACTGTCATGGCACAAGGTAACCTGCATCTCTAACCTCTCCTCTTAGTTTCTCTTCAAACTCACCCCATCCTGATGATGGTCTGAGGCCTAAAACCTCAGAGAGAGGTAATTCTACTATTCCCCCTTGTCACTGGGTTCCTTACTACACTCTGTGCCAACTGTTGGCACTTGGTAAGTCTGAGGACACTGCCTGCCATCTTCCTATCAGGAGCTATGACCAAAGTATGACTAGTAAATGAAAAAAAAGCAGTAGCAGTAGCAGCCAAGTGAGTGAAGGGAAAAGGGCTTTAAGTACAAACAATCTACATTCATGCCTAACCAAAGAGCTTATTCAGGGGTGGGCAAGATGCGGCCCATCAGGCCATTCTATCTGGCTTGCAGGGCCCCTACAAAATTTAGAAAATTAATATTAATCTGCCCTGGGCTTCCTGTCATGTGGCCCTCAATGGTTTGCCAAAACTCAGTAAGCGGCCCTCTGCCCAAAATAATTACCTGGCCCTGGCTTATATGGTCCTGAGGCTACCGGTACATCCCCACTTCTGTGAATTGAGGCCCAATCCGCTTCCCTACAGCCTTATTTCTTCTCTATAGTAGCTGAGTTTTTCTATCTACTCTGAATTTCTTCATTTGGTTACAAGGCTGGGAAGTTTCTCAGGTAGATCTAGACAAGCACATGCTTTGGGTAGGGTCTCAAGTGAACTTCAGAAGGAAATGGTACCTGCCCTTTCCATTTAAGTATCAGTGCATGAGACAATCTGAAGCTATTACCCCCTTTCCTGAAGATGCGACTCCCAGTAATTATATAAGCAAATATAGTAGCAAGCAAACATATAATCAATAAATTGCAGCAGTCTCTGATATCTTTTATAGATGCTTCATAGTACTAGAAAATGCAGTATGTCTGTGTTATGTAATAATAAAGCAGTCTCCCCAACTGAGGACTTCAGTACTGTTGAGCTGGTAAAGGAGTGACACTTGCTGGGGTTTCTTTAAAGGTACCAACCAGCCTGCACCTTAGTTTATACACAAAGTAGACCAAAGTAGTGATGTTCACCTTTTCAATGGATAGGAAATCAGTATGATCATTTCATACAGTTTCCAGCTCACTCTTATTTCACCCATCTTGTGAGACTCTAGAGCAGTGTTTCTCAACCCACTTGAACTCAAGGCACCCCTCCATAACATTTGTGAATTGAGTAGCACTCCATTTAAAAAACTAATTTACAGATTACCAGCGATCTGGGTTTTCCATTTCCCATGAAAAACTGTGGCAAAATGCAGACTTTCTCCTTTAAAGGAAAAAACCCAGGAAACCTTGGGTCTCCCCTTGCAGACTAGCAGAGTTCCAGCCTGCAAGGAGCAGCATATCAGCACTGCTCAGCATCACAAAGCAATAGGGGGACAGCCAGAGCTGGACCCATGTTCTAATGAGTGAAGGTGGAAGCTCTGATTTTCCATGATAAACAAAACAAAATGAAATGCCAAAAATATAGAAGTGTTCATAATTAATTATTATAACAATTGACGCACTGGTAGACATCCAAATTGCTTTAAAATTGAACACAATGTTTTATTGATATATTTACAACTGACAGAGAGAGCGCGAGTGCAAAAGCACACTTTTTAATGGAAAAACATTAATTTGGAGATTTTAAAATCAGATAATTTTGGATTTTTTTTAAACAGGAAAAAACAGAATCCCTGCAGATTACAGTGCATACTTCCTTGCAGAGGGGTCTGGCAGTGGGAATGGAGGTTTGTACAGGCAAGGACAAGCTTGAGCCTGTGCTTATCTGCTTGTCTCCTAACACCTCACTTATTTCCTCACACCATCCTTTATAGTTCTGGTGGCACACCCGAGTGCCCTGATATCTTGGTTGAGAACCACTTCTCTCGGGTTACTTTTTAGATCTGTTTATCAAAAATAAAAACCAGAATGGTGCCTTGTGTCCAAGGGACCTGGGCAGTTTGCATGGCCAGACTGCCATCTTTCTTTCCAGGTCTCTCCAGGCCCTCCACCCTCTGGGGCCATCAGTCTCTTAGACATTTGTGGATGTGATACAGTTCCATGCTGTGGTTGCTCCTGGCCTTTTAGACAGCAATTCTGAAGGTGGTCTCTGGCATGCCAGACTAACAGGTTTTCCACAATAACTCTGACAGTTTTTCCACAGGACTTAAATGGAAAGAGCCACCCCTGCACACTTTGCTGTAAATCTGCAAAGAGAATATTCTCCTTGCAGGTAATACTTCTGCATGATCTGGCTCAGGATTTTAGATATCTAAGGCTCAGAGGTGGGTGAAAACCACTGATAAATGTATAACACAACGAGCATCTAGGCTAGTGATTTTCAACCAGTATGATGCAAGATCCTTTTAAGTATGGTGCAGGGTACACACCTAACAGTATTAATATTGTGTAGCAAACACCTACACCTATATGATTTGCAATAGAAACCCAGAGATTTAAAATAAAACTCATCAAAAACATTCTGACCTACTGTGGACCAGCTGCTTTAAATGGTAATTATAACTTAATGAAGTGTGCTGTATAGTATTGCCAAACTTGTTCTAAATAGGTTTATATTGTAGTATGAATGTAGCTGGAAAGTTCTTACTCTGCATTTCTGGATCTGAGCTGCATCCGCCTCTGCACATTTGTCCATCACACCTTGATGGAAAAGGAAAGGGA